TCGCCACACATTCCTCTTGGCTCTACCCACCACAAGAACACAAGTGGAGTGACCTGCACAGTCTGCCTCCCAACCTGGCTTTTCCCATTAACAAACTGGGAAGAACAGGGATGCTGAAGACTTGTCATCAAAGCTGCTTCATGAATGCAAAGGGTGTGTTTATTAGTTCAGAGTTTGTACTCATTAATTTTTTACTTCTTGCCTCTTTTAAGTGTGGTAGTTAACTCTTAAGAGTTATCATACAAGTTTTAATACTGCATGGCGAAAGAAAGAAACAGTAAAGAGACAACCTGCAGAATGGGAGAAAACATTTGCAAACTATGCAACCAGCAGGGGACTAAGGTCCAGAGTTTACAAGGAACTCAACAATAACAGCAGAAAAGCCCTGTAATAAGGTGGGCAAAGGACGGGAATAGAGATTTTTCAAAAGAAGACACATAAATGGCCAAAAAGCATATATTATGTTTCTTTTCTTTTTTATTGAGACAGGGTCTCACTCCTATCACCCAGGCTGGAGTGCAGTGACACAATCACGGCTCACTGCAGCCTTGACTACCTGGGCTCAGGTGATCCTCCCACTATGCCTCCTAAGTAGCTGGGACCACCGAGGTGCACCACTATGCCCAGCTAATTTTTTGTGTTTCTAGTAGAGATGGGTTTTGTCACCTTGCCCAGGCTGGTCTCAACTCCTGGGCTCAAGGAATGTCCTTCCCTTGACCTCCTGGAATGGTGGGATTACAGGTCCAAGCCACCACACCCAGCCCACCAAGCATATTTAATTTAATGTAATTTAATTATTTAATTTAATTTAGAGACCATCTCTCTCTCTGTGTTGCCAGGCTGGAGTACAGTGGTGTGATCTTGGCTCACTCCAATCTCTGTCTCCTGGGTTCAAGCAATCTCCTGCCTCAGCCTCCCGAGTAGCTGGGATTACAGGCATGTGCCTCCACACCCAGCTAATTACAAGCATATTTTAAAATGCTCAGCATAAGCCAGGCATGGTGACTCATGCCTGTAATCCCAGCACTTTGGGAGGCCAAGGCGGGCAGATCACGAGGTCAGGAGTTCGAGACCAGCCTGGCTAACAGCCTCTACTAAAAATACAAAAAATAGCTGGGCATGGTGGCAGTTGCCTGTAATCCCAGCTATGTGAGAGGCTGAGACAGGAGAATCGTTTGAACATAGGAGGCGGAAGTTACAGTGAGCAGAGATCGCACCACTGCACTCCAGCCTGGGTGACAGGGCAACACTGTCTCAAAAAAATAAAGTGTTCAACATCACTATCATCAGAGAAATGCACATTAAAACCCCGATGAGATACCATCTCATGCTAGTCAAAATGGCTATCATTGAAAAGTCAAAAAAATTATTGGCGAAGATGTGGAGAAAAGGGAATGCTTATATACTGTTGGTTGGAATGCAAATTAGTACAACCTCTGTGGAAAACAGTATGGAATTTTTTGGCTTCTTCTGTTTTTGCTTCTTTGGGACAGGGTCTCACTGTCTTGCCCAGGCTGGAGTGCAGTAGTTTGATCATGGCTCACTGCAGCCTTGAACTCCCAGGATCAGGTGATCTTTCCACTTCAGCTTCCTGAGTAGCTGGGATTACAGGCATACATCAGCATATTCAGCTAATTTTTGATCCAGCAATCCCACTTCTAGGTATCTACCCAAAGGAAAAGAAATCATCGTATCAAAAAATAGCTGCAATTTTGTTTATTGCAGCACTATTTACAATGCTAGAGACATAACCTGTACATCAATGGACTAGTGGCTAAAGAACATATGCCCGATGGAAGACTCCGAGGGTGGGAGAAAGGCGAGGCATGAGAAATGACTCAATGTATAATGTACACTATTGCGGTGATGGGTACACTAAAAGCCTAGACTCCGCTACTATGCGATAGATCCATGTATCAAAACTGCATTTGGTCAGGCATGGTGGCTGACGCCTGTAATACCAGCCCTTTGGGAGACCAAAGACAGGCATATCACCTGAGGTCAGGAGTTCGAGACCAGCCTGGCCAACATGGTGAAACGCCATCTCTACTAAAAGTATACAAATTAGCTGGGCATGGTGGCACACACCTATAATCCCAGCTACTTGGGAGGCTGAGACAGGAAAATCACTTGAACCTGGGAGGCAGAGGTCGCAGTGAGCCAAGATCGTGCCACTGCATTGCAGCCTGAGTGACAGAGGGAGACTCTGTCTCAAAACAAAACAAAACAAAAATTGCATTTGTACCTATTAAATTAAAATAAAAATGTGTGTTAAAGTTTGATTAATCATTTTATATGCCAGTTAGGCTGAAGTAAATAATAAACTTTCAAATTTGTCATATTAAGAGAATTTGGCCAATAACAAAATAAGGAAAAATATGAAAATAAACTTTATTATTCTATGCTTGTCACTATTAATACATAGTTTTAGAAACTTTGCTTTTCAGTGGCTGACCACTGCCAGTTTTCCAGTGCTTACTCTACAGCAAGCATCCTCCCATTCTCTCCTCCCACACCCAACTCTCATACTGATGCTGTTAACAGCCTCTTTTACAGATGCAAAACTTGGGAATAATAAGGCAGTCATTTGCTTAAGGGGAAACCATTAGCCTGGCATCAAGCTGAGGTCTGAGGCTGCAGCTGCACTCGGGCAGCCTTTGGGCAGCTCTGACTCCAGGCAGTTCTCCAGTCACCAAAGCCCTTAGAGAAGGCTCAGGACCTGACCTTGGCAAGGAAGAACTTTGAGCCTAGGCTGGTCAAATACATATGTGAATAGTTAAAAAAAAAAAAAAAAAAGTTCAATGCAACATAAATCTCTAGGAGTTAAGGGTGACCGTGGGCTGTGATGCTGTGGGCTGGCACCAGCCAGGGACAGCTCCACAGAAGACCTGAGGTTGGGCTCGGAGGGGCCACCACTGCCCGCCACATCAGTCGTCTGCAGGTGCCTCAGCCTTGCTTTTGACTTTTTTCAAAAAGGGATGAGAACCCTCCCTGGCTTTCTAATCAAGGGATGTTATGACAGGAATATTTTTGGAGCAGTGTAAGAAATGGGATAGCATGAGCGAGAGTCTAGACAGAAGGTGACTGTGCAGACAAGCGCGAAGCGCTCCGTCACTGCCTAACAGACGACCCAGACTCCGCAGGTGACAAGCATTTATCATCTCCCCGGTTCCAGTGGTCAGAACATCAGGAGCAGCTCTGGCAGGGGTCCCGGCCTGGGCCTCTGACGAGGTGGCAGTGAAGATGGTAGTGGCACTCGCAGCCTCCGGGGGCTGCACCAGGGTTAGAGGATGGCGTCCGCAGTGGCCCCTATGAGGGCCCCTTCAGTGTCCTTCAAGCCTGGCAGAGAGACCATGTGTGAGCTGGCGGGCCCTGCGACAAGGATCTCCGGACTCAGCCTCCCCACAGCCCCAAGGCCCCGTGGCCCATCCTCCGCAGAAGGCATGAGACACGCGGGCAAGGTCACGGAGTGGCAGCACCAGGGACCAGGGCGTGGAGCAGAGCAAGGTGGGGAAACCCAGAACTCAGCCAAGATGCTGGAGGAAGGTGCGGTGTGCAAACGACCCCGAAGGAAAGGCAGGAGGAAGACATCACCAGGACGCAGCCTTTGTGTTTGGGAAATGGGAGCAGCACTCATTAGAAATGGGAGAAGGACAGCAGTGTGGCGGGAGGAGCAAGCCCGCTTTCTCTCTGTTCACAGGAGATGCAGGGGCACCTCTAGGAGAGGCTGTGGTGCCAATCAGTAGCACACACCCATAGTCCCAGCATTTGGGGAGGCTGAGGTGCAAGGATGGCTTGAGCCCAGGAGTTTGAGACCAGTCTGGGCAACATAGTGAGACCCCATCTCTAAAAACCAAAACAAACCAAAACAAAAAATTAGATGTGACAGCCTGCACATGGGGCCCCAGCTCCTCAGGAGGCTGAGGCGGGAGGATCACCTGATCCCAGGAGGAGGAGGCCGCACACCACTACTGTACTCCAGAGCGAGGCCAAGAGGCCACAAGTGCACTGCCGTTCCTGCTGGCAAGAGTCCCCGGACCCTGCGCACAAACAGCACTGGGCACCCTCAGGGCCATGGCCCGCGGGCTTCGACGGGAGCAGGAGGCCGCCCTAGGGGGCGTTTTTTCCTAGTGCCGGGCTGGCCAGGAAAGCCGCTTCCAGTGCCCCCCAAGCCCTGCTGGGCCACTCAGGCCGAGCCCTGCGCTGATTTCCCAAACCAGCGACCAAAGTTGCGCTGCTGCGGCCTTATCGGACCATATTCACCTCGTGCAGATGCACATTCTGCAGACAAAGCAGCGTGTCCGCACCTCGGTCTGTTTCTGGCCGGTGGGGCAGGGCAGCTTTCGCTGCCGTTTGGCTGCGGCTGGATCCGCCAGCTCTGCTCTTGCCCTTCCCATCACTGCGCTGGACTCCTCTTCAAAACAGAATGAACCCATTTCCAACCAACACAGACGTTACGACGACAACCAACTGTATCGTAATTAAAATCAGCTACTGCTACTTCTTCGGTTTAAGAACTGACCACCTCAAGAAAACTTCCTAAAACTGATATGCAGTGGAAGGCATGGAACAACCACGACGCACGCAGGTGCTTGTTTTTACCCCACTTTGGTCACCAAAGATTTGAAGAGGCTGGAGTCTGACATTTACAACTGTCCTCTCCTAAAAATTTACAACTGTGATCGTTGCCCTACTACGTGTGCCAGCCAGTGTGCGACCCTTTCTCTCCATCCCTGCTTCAGAGGTTTCCAGATTCCACGTTTCCTTGTTTCCGTCTAGAGCAGACCATCAGGTGACAAGTTCTAGATCATTCCTGCTGGGACTTAACAGAGCTGCTGCGGGAGCTCGAGGGCGCTGCGGCCTGGGGAGACCGCACACCAGCACCCCGTCGGAGGCCCCACTGCCTGCGGGACTGGGGAGGCAGGCGCCTCACAGCTACGCTCTGAGGGAACTTTCAAGATGACTCTGAGTAAATGCAGAAAAACCACTGACACGAAACGTTTTATCCAGCATGAGCCTATCTGTGTTTAATAAAGGAAGGGAAGAGAAAGGCCACACATACACTTTCATAAGCACACAAAGCTGGAAAGCTTCGTGAAAGAGGAGCCGACTGGCAGCAGGGGAGGCCTTTACCCTTCAACAAACTCCAGACTCCTGCACTCTTTTTAAACCGTAAGCATGGATTGCTTTTATTTTTTATTTTTTAAATTAATGTTGTTTTAAACAACTTGGATTTAAAGATGGTGGAAAAAAAGACCTTTGGCCTTTGTCCCTGAAACACTCACAAAACTACAAGGAGAAAAACAGGGATGCAAACCTCGGATACTCTCTGGGATCCGTGACCTCCGGCCCCAGCAGGTGAGGTTGGCGGGCAGCGAGGGGGGGGGCCTTCAGCCTGGGTGCAGGATGTCCCCAGGGCAGGGCAGGGCAGGGGCAGGCTGGAGGGGCCTGGCACAGCCTGCAGAAAGGGCCCTGGGACCCGTGGACCCCAGCCCTCTGCCCACGTGAGAAGCTTCGTCTGGAGAGGCTGAGTCTCTCAAGGAAAGCCATTTGGGGGCCGAGATGAAAGCCACGGTCCCAGGCTGCAGCCCCGCAGTTAGCGCCCACCAGAGGCCAGGAGCAGATGTGAGGCCTGGAGCAGCCACGGGCCCAGGAGAGCTGCCTGCTGATCTGCAGGAGGAAGGGACGCGGGGTGGGAACCGGAAGATGCCAGATGGCAGCGCACCCGCCACCGTCTGCGGAGGGGCCTGACTGGAGGATAGCATGGGCGGCCGGCGGTGGCATCGGCCACCTGCAGGGAGAGAAGGGCCTGCGCCACCGCGACAGGCAGGGCGATGGGTGTCATCCCTAAGGGACACAGGCGAGGGCCTCGCGCCCTCCATCCACGCAGGTGGCAGGGCTGGCTGCACTGCTCCCTGCTGCACGCTCATGAAAGGCGGGTCGTCCGGGCCCGGAATCCAGCCCAGTCCCCCTCCCCCGCCCCGCGGGCCCTCACAGCCAGACGCGCTCTTCCGGCCCGTCCTTGCTCATCCTCTCCTGGCCTCCTCGCCTTCTTCTTTCTTTCTTCCAGGAAGCATCTGCGGAGACACCAGGGGTCAGCTCACAGAGGGGCGGAGGACGCACCACACACCACAATCACAACACAAACCACACTCAGGACACACTCACACATCACACACATGCACATCTTACACACATGCACACACCACACACATCACATACACATCACACACATGCACATGCACCATACACACATCACACTACACATCACATCCATGCACATCATACACACATGCATACCACACATCACACACAGCACACACACATGCACCTCACACATCGCACATACATGCACACACCACACATGTACACATCACACATCACATACGCACAGCATACACACATCACACACATGCACATCACACACACACATATACACATTACACAGAGCACACACACTACACACACATTCATACCACACAGCACAATCACATACATGCACATCAAACACACATGCACACGACACATACCACATACAATACACATCACATACAGAACACACACACTTCCCACACATGTACACACCACACATGCAGCACACACATCACACCACACACACCCCACATACCACACAGATATACACATCACACCCCACATATACACATCACACACAGGGCATATACACCACATATTTATACACACAGCACACAACACACGCCCCACACAGCACACACACACCACACACTACATACCACACACACACACCACACAACACACACATAGCACACACACTACACACATAGCACACACACTGCACACAACACACACATATATACTTACCACACAGCACACACAGCACACAGCACACAGACATAAGACGCCAGGCGAGGGTCCTACATGCGCTGAACTCAGGGTGCGGCCATGGAGGCAAGGCCCACGGCTGCCCCAGCTTGAGAAGGAGAGCAAAGCCCGGCTTCAGTGACTCGGGAAAAATCAGCACGAAGTTCTTAAGGACGCCCGGAGCCACACACGCCGGAAACAGATCGGGAAAGAAGGGGACGAGCAGCCCAGAGCAGTGCAGCGCGGCCGTGGGCCCAAGCCGCCCGCGGGTGGCGCATCCTCCCCTGGGAGCGGCGTGACCGCCCACCGTCGGGCCAGGGCTACTCGAAGTCCAGTCGCTGGCGGCCCAGGAAGCCAGGGAACGCTTGTGAAGCTCAAGGGAACATCGGGAAAGGCTTCCACCGCTAAAAGGAAACGGCCGGTGGTAGCTGCATGGCCATGCGCTGGCTTGGAGCAAGCAAAGAGCACAGGACCTTGCTCACAGCAGCAGACGCGGATGCACCCAAAGGGCGGCGCCCCGTCGGCACAGGCCGGGCCACTCGCGCCGACTCTGCAGTCACCGGGGTCGCCTCGGCAACCGAACCAGAGGGCAGCTTGCCGGAGGGGCTGAGCTGCCTCCGTCCAACCCAGAGGGCCGCAGCTCAAGCTTCCTCAAAATCTAAATCCTGCCACCAAGCAAGGAATGAAAAAGAAAGAGGATGAACCCCGTGATTCTGTGTCACTGCGGAAGACTAAGGAGCTCCGAGCTGGAGAGCCGCCAGCAGCTGCGTATTTCCGGCGTCCCCTCGCAGGGCGCACCATGCACACGGGTCACGAGAGGCTAAAAGGCCCCCCTGGTGAGTGAATACTGTACTCACCGCCATTTATGACAAGCGCAGGCGCAGGCCTCCTTAGCTCACAGCACTTTCGGAGTGTTCAATTATCCACTCGATGGCGGCCCACCCCTGCAACACGGAAAGATCTCAGCACCGACTGGGTCATCCCACCTCCAGCTGCAGACAGCAAGCGACAAGCCCATGGGCTAAACTGCGGAAGGAAAGCGCTGCAGCCGCAAGGAGACACAGCAGTGACCTTTCCGAGGGACCTCCACACAGGCAGGCAGTTCCTCCAGCTCAGAAGAGGGAAGGAAAGCTGTGCCTAAGAGTCACTACTGTGTTAGCAAACCAGCACCCCGCGTGGCTCTCCCAGCCTTGGCGTCCCTCTTAGCACAGTATGGCAAGTCCTGTCCCTCACCTCCCAAATCTCAGCGCTGAGGCTGCCCCAGGAGGCCAGGCAAGCCCAGGGTGACACCTCCACGCACCCCCAACCCCATCCCCTGCACCTGCCCTCAGCCTGCGCACTGTTTCCAGGCACAACACCTCTCCCCAGCTTGCTAGAGGAGGCAGTGATTCTCTCTTAAGTCTTCAACACAATGCCTAATTAAGTGAAATAAAGGAAAGCCAATTTGACCTCAATGACTTTACCCCAATTTTTTCACTTAAAAGGCCTAAGGTAGCTGTGGCCTCATTGAATATTCCCTTCCTCTTCTAATATTTTCTTCCGCAAACATTTAGGGCTTCTGCCCTAAGCCAAGCATTGGAAACCAGGATGGGTGAGATCTGGTCTCCTTCCTCCAGCATGGACAAAGCTCTCCCCATTGGCCTTTGCTGCCCTACCTCCTCTGAACTGAGTTAAGCTGCTCAAATATCTATTTCTCAAATCTGGATTATTCCACAATATTGGACAGACAGGTTCTTCTATTGGTGATGAGACTCAATGCAAGCCATAAATGGTTTTCTACTAGTTGGAGAGTTAAGCATGGAAGGGCACTGGAAAGGGAAGTGCAGCCCTTGGAATCACCCACGGATCCTGACAATGAAGACTCACCTCTGACCTCTAAAAAGGAGGGAAGAGACGGAGGCAGGGAAGCGTGAGGGGTATGGGGGACAGACAAACGGAAGGCATGAGCCTGTGAGGCAAGCCCAGGTGAAAAGCAAAGGCCCTGCTCTGGCAAGTGGCATCCTTTAAATGTGAGGAACATCTTCCTCCCGAACACTCAAGCCCTTTCCTTCAACTCTGCTGGAAAGGAGGGCAACATGGACTCCTAGAACAATCTCTGCCTCCACTCCAGTGCCCTGGACACAAAGGGAGGGCTGTAGATGGCCTCCTGGGATCCACCATTTCTCCTCTGGCCACCACAAAGCTAACTGCCAAATCCTGCCAGAGAGATGCGAAGACCACAGCAGACTCCATGGAAGCATCACTGCTAGAAAGGTTCAGCCAAAGCCACTTAATGCCCATTAAATAGGAAACTACTATCAGTCCTGAATAGCCTACCTGGCACTGTTAACACCTTATATTTCTGATGTTGTGGGTTAGTTTGCTTTGGTAACTGAAGCCTACGACATTTGGGCTTTTTGAAGCAGTAGTTGCCTTGGCTGGGTTTATGCTCCAGGTTTACGCCATACATTCCCTACTGCGAAGAGTAACTTTCTGGCTCCCTTGGCTTTTACGGACACACATCCCTCAGACCTGGGTCAGCCTTTCCCTACCCTAGTTTTCCAATACTGTGGCATTACGAGCCCAGCACACATGGAAATCCGTAGCACTCAGGAGGATTTTATTTGTTTATTTATTTATTTAATTTATTTTTTGAGACAGAATCTCACTCTGTAACCCAGGCTGGAGTGCAGTCGTGGCTCAGCTCACTGCAACCTCCACCTCCTGGTTTCAAGCGATTCTCATTTCTCGGCCTCCTGAGTAGCTGGGACTACAGGCGTGCACCACCATGCCTGGCTAATTTTTGTATTTTTAGTAGAGATGGGGTTTTGGCATGTTGGCCAGCCTGGTCTTGAACTCCTGGCCTCAAGCAGTCCATCTGTCTTGGACTCTCAAAGTGTTGGGATTACAGACATGAGCCACTGTGCCCAGCCAAGAAGATTTATGAGACTAAAAATGTAATCTTCTTAATCTGGCACTTACCAATAGAGCACACATAACTCCTAGGACTGAGATACATACCTTCTTTGCATTGGATGATATTGTGTTAGCCATTAAACTTTCCAAATAACTCCCAAGGCTAATCCCCTTCACAGTGATGATGGCTTCTTGTGTGAGCATGGTCCTGCCAAAGAGCAAGAAGAAAAGGGCTAACCAGCCCTGAGAGAGAGGAGGATCTGCCCTGCCCTCACCCTTGGCATTCAATGTGTCAATCCCACAGGAGATTACTCACATTTCTGGGTTCTCTGGATGAGGTATGTACACCAATCTCTCATTAACTGACACCAAATTTGTGAGTGTGATCTTAAAAAAAGAAAAAAAGGTTTAGATTGTATTTCTCTTGCATTGCTTCCCAAATCATCTGCCGTACTCTTCCATCCCCAAATTAGCACTTAGCGGGGCCAGAACAGAAGAAACATTTAGGCATTGGAGATACCACCGCATTAAGTCCTAGGAAACCATGGCTTTGCTGTCCTTCTGGCAACTGTCATCTGTCCCACTCCACACGTGAGCAGGGCTGTGGCCTTGAAGGTAGAGTCAAGCTGCCAAAACTATGAGCAGTTGCATTACAGAAAAGGACAAATAGTCCTGTGTGTCCACACAAGTGAGAGGAAGCTTTTCACCTACCCATGGCAGCCCACGGAACACTGTCTCCTAGGACTGGATGGGACAGACCCTGAATCTACATGGAGACTGCAGAGTTCTTGTCTCCTCCAGTACCACTTCCTGTAAACAGACCGACTCCTTATGTACATATTTATATTTTCTTTCTCTGAATTTTTAATTTTTAATTTTATTTTATTTTTATTATTTTTTTGAGATGGAGTTTCACTCTGTCACCAGGCTGGAGTGCAGTGGTGAGATCTCAGTTCACTGCAATCTCTGCCTCCCAGGTGATTCCCTTGCTTCAGCCTCTCGGGTAGCTGGGACTACGGATGCACCACCATGCCTGGCTAAATTTTTTTTGTATTTTAGTAGAGATGGGGTTTCATCATGTTGGTCAGGATGGTCTCAATCTCCTGACCTTGTGATCTGCCTGCCTTGACCTCCCAAAGTGCTGTGATTACAGGAGCGAGCCACTGTGCCCTGCCTCTTTTTTTTTTTTTTTTTTTAGACAGAGTCTTGTTCTGTTGCCCAGGTTAGATCAGGGCTCACTGCAGTCTCAATCTCCAGGACCACCTCTGCCTCCTGAGCAGCTAGGACTACAGGTGCGCACCACCACACCTGGCTAATTTTTAGACTTTTTATATGTTTCCATGCTGCCCAGGCTGGGATCAAACTCCTGAGCTCAAGCAGTCCTCCCACCTTGGCCTCCCAAAGTGCTGAGACTACAGGCGTGAGCCACTATTTTTCTATCAAAATATATATTTTGCTTATATTTTCTATCTATTTAAACACTGGAGTTCTGGAGCCACACTATCTAACAGAATTTTCTGTGATAACAGCAATGTCCTATGCATGCTGTCTGATGGGGTAGCCACAAACACATGCGGCTAATGCACACCTGACGTGTGGCTCATATGACTGAGGAATGAAATTGTTAATTTTATTTTATCTGAATTAGGTTTTGTTTTGTTTTGTTTTGTTTTGAGATGGAGTTTCACTCTTACTGCCCAGGCTGGAGTGCAATGATGTGATCTTGCTCACTGTAACCTCTGCCTTCTGGGTTCAAGCAACTCTCCTGCCTCAGTCTCTCGAGTAGCTGGGATTACAGGTGTCCACCACCACGCCCAGCTAATTTTTGTATTTTTAGTAGGGACAAGGTTTCATCATGTTGGCCAGGCTGGTCTTGAACTTCTGACCTCAGGTGATCTGCCCGCCTCGGCCTCCCAAAGTGCTGGGATTACAGGCATGGGCCACTGCACCCAGCCATAATTAGTTTACAACTAAATAGCCACAGGTTGTTGGCAGCTGCCACACTGGACAACGGAGCTCCAGAATTGCTTCATTATTTAACCCAATTCACCCTCTTCTCGAAGGGCCAATTAGAAAAGACCATGTTTTAAAAAGTTGAAGCAGTGAAAAGCAAATTAACCTTTCTGTAGTGATAAACACTCAGTTTATCAGTAATCTCTCACTGAATCCACCCCCCCGCCGACCCCACCACCTGCCTCACTGTCCCAATGCAAATGGTTAGTAGGAAATCTCTCTCCTCCTACTGAGTGCCGAGTTATCAAGAGTTTCATATGTATGGTCATTACATTGAACAGAAATATTTAACAATATCAATTAAAAATGAAACTCTGATTAGTTGTCATTTTATGTGCAATATTTTATGCACGTCACTGTGTTTCATAAACCTTACTTCTCTGAGGTTTGCTGTTTTCTTTTTTATACAAGAAATGTGGGACTCAGAAAATGTAAACAGCATCCTGAAGTCGTCGGGCCATCCAGCAGTGGCTTCAGGACACAAGCACACGTCTGTCTTGCTCCAAACCCCATTTCCTTTCCATCAGACCTCACTGGAGGATAACCTGTTCCTTTTTACATACAACTGAGTTTTCTGGAAGGATAAAGTGGAATTTCATAAGTAAATATTGGTTTGGGGGGCAGAGAGAACAGAATACATAAGTTGTCAGGAATAGCGACAGGGGACCCTGACAGGCTCCTGTGACTTCGTGCAGCCTGGGACAAGGGGCCAATAGACCAGGGGACATTGGCAGAGGTCCAGGTAGTACATTAAGGAGCCAGGCTGTACCTTGCAGATGGCTCAGAGTCTCATCTCAGCACACAGGGATGCACTCACTGCCTTCTACAGAAGGTGCTCCCAGCTGGGCAGAGTGTAGCTGGCCAGCAGCATTGAGTGTCCCTGAGGCTGTTCCCACGGTCACCTGAGCAGCTCACAGGAGCTCCCGAGGCCCTCAGGGTGTGAAAGGGGAACCACAGGACCCAGACCGGCTCCACTTTGTTTCAAATACAGGGCCTCCCACAAGATGCTGAGAAGATGGGGAGCTGCCCAGGTACCGGTTTGGGTACTTGCGCATGGCTGCCTGGATGACCTGCTCCTCAACCCTGTCCCTACCCACGGAGCCCACCAGCCCTGCCTGCCCCTGGGCCCAGGTCACCCCTCCCTCACCACAGCACCGCTGGCCACACCTTCAGCTTCAGGCCAGACACTCCATGGCCCTTTGGGAAAGGGCGGCATACTCAGGATGTGCGAAGCAGGCTTACCTCTCAATTTCCAGACCTGATGGGCCCCACCCGGGCCCTGACCAGAGAGGGCAGCTGCACCATGGGCCTCCCATTCCTCACTCCCCAGTCTCACCCTAGACAGCCTCTGGTACCTCTCACCTGGACAATTACCTGCCCAGACTACTGGCCTCCCTGGTTCGGGTCCCAACATCTCCCCACCCTCTCTCCACAAGGCTGCCAGGGTTTTCTTCCCAGCACACAACCTGGCTACCTCGCCATCTGGCAACAAACTCTCAGTGGCTCCCACTTACCCCAGAAGCGGCCTCCAGCTCCTCTGCCTTCTGTGGTGTTATCCCTGCCCCTCTCCAGCCTCCTTCCTTCCACACACCTTCCCCTCTTAGTCTCCAACCCACCTGTCTGTGGCTCTCTAAGGCTCAAGGGCGCCCACTGCCAGTGTGTCTGGAGAAGACCTGCCAGCCTCCCTGTCACCTACATTCGCGCAACCACTTGGGGGGGGCTCCTGCCTGCTGCCACCTACATGGGTTTAGATGCCCACCGTGTTGTTTAGAGCCAGTCAGGAGGGCATCTCTTTTAATCCTTGCATTCCCCACCCCTAGCACTGTGCTGGGTACCTGGCAGGCTCCTGATGCTGTTGGCAGACCAGTAAATAAGTGGTGGCTAGAGCCAACCGTGGCCCTGGAGACAGAAAAGGGATGCCAGATGAGGGCACCGCTGACTTCAGCCACCATACCCCATTTCTCTACTTGCTGAAAATAAGGATTATTTATGAAATAAATAATTTTCCTAGTCCATGCATATTCTCCAACATGTTCTTTGAATTTGCATTAGGCCAATATACTTTTTTTTTTTTTGAATCTCACTCTGTCACCCAGGCTAGAGGGCAATGGCATGGTCTCAGCTCACTGCAACCTCAGCCTCCTGGGTTCAAGCAATTCCTCTGCCTCAGCCTCCTGAGTAGTGGGACTACAGTACCTGCCAGCACACCAGCTAAATTTTTATATTTTTAGTAGAGATGGGGTTTCACCATGCTGGCCAGGCTGGTCTCAAACTCCTGACCTCGTGATCTGCCAGCCTCAGCCTCCCAAAGTGCTGGGATTACAGTCGTGAGCCACTGAGCCTGGCCCATACTTTTTTTAATTGAGAGAAGTGGAGGAGTGACGGGGAGAAAATAGCTTTAAAAATGCCTGTTGGTGGTGCATACCTGTAGTCCCACCTGCTTGGGAGGCTGAGTCAGGAGAATCACTTGAATCCAGGAGGTGGAGTTTGCAGGGAGCTGAGATCCACTGCACCCCAGCCTGGGTCAGGGAGAAAGAGAAAGATTCTGTCTCAAAAAAAAAAAAAAAAAAAAGAAAGAAAGAAAAGAAAAAAGCACATTGGAAGGCATCACTTGAGACCAGGAGGTTGAGACCAGCCTGGGCAACATACCGACACACTGTCTCTACAAAATATTAAAAAAAATAGCTGGGTGTGGTGCCACATGACTGTGGTCCCAGCTATTTGGGAGGCTGAGATGGGAGGATCACCTGAGCTCAGGAATTTGAGGCTGCTCTGAGGTATGACCATACCACTGCGCTCCAGCCTGGGTGACAGAGCAAGACCCAATCTTTAGAAAAACAAAACCGCCTGCTGGTTGTCTGGATGGTGATTATCTTGTGGGGGGTACCCAAGGGGTCTCAGAGGCTGGTCAAATTCTGTTGCTTGACCTGCCTGCTAGTTAAGAGGTGTGTTAAATTTGTGACAACTCATCATTGTGTGCATTTTTCTATATACTTATTATACTTGAATATAAAGATAAACTGCTAAATGAATTCAGCTTTTCTATTAAAAATAAGCACCACCTAGACAAAGGTGTGCTGGAAACAGAATTAAAGAAGGCCTTGTGCACCATCCCCCAGACACAGAGTCCCTTTCTCATCTGAGGCCATCGCTTACATTGGTGGAACAAAGTTCCATTTTCTTTTCCACTGGATCCACCACAGAATGTTCTTGGATGTATGTCAAAGTCCTACTGGTTCCCAAAATCTAAAACACAAAGCAAAACTAGCATAGTGGAACGTTAAATATTCTACTTCAGATCACCACCGAACACCGTTGCATTTACTAATTAATTCGCTATTCTATAAATGGTATCATGGGATGCAGCCAGGGACAGCGACAAAATCCCTGTGTCCAGGGCACTTCTGCTCCAGCAAGTGAGCCACTGAGGAAAGAAATGAATTCCTCAGAGTGGAGCGCGGGCCGAACTGTCCTCCCGGCAAAATAAAACAGGCTGCGGGCAATGGAGCCCGGAGGCCCCTCTGCTGGATAAGGTCTGGGCAGAGCCCCAAGGAGGAAGGTGCCACCAGAGTGCTGGGGTGGGGGGGTTGGGCCGGGGTCAGTAGGTGCAGGCCCTGCAGCAGGAGCTGGGCTGACCAAGGGGCCTGTGCAGGGGCCAGGGCTTGGACCGCAGGAGGAGGTGAGCTCCGGGCGCCGGGTTTGGGAGAGCAGTGCTCAGATTCCCATTTCCAGTGACCTCCCTGGCTCTGAGGAAGAGGCTGTGGGGGCTGAAACAGGTTGAAGCCTAACCCCCTTCCTGTGGGGACACCAGGAAGCGTCTGGCTGGGGACAGTGGGATTTAGAAGCGATTAAGCCGGGAGGAGGGTGTGTGGCCCTGCTAATCCAGCACGCCCGGGGCCCGAAGGCAGAGCAGATGGGGATGCCAGATGCCAGGCGGCGCGGGGCAGAGCCTCCTGTGCCCACCCCCTCCATCTCGGAAAAGACCCCCCCACTGCCCCCCGAACCCGTGCTCCCTGATCTCGGGAACCCCCCCACCACCCTCCCACCCCCTGATTTCGGGGAAGACCTCCCACCGCCCCCCCGACCCCACGCCCTCTTGATCTCGGGGAAGACCCCCCCCACCGGCTTCCCGATCTCGGGGAAGGCCATCCTACCGCCCCCGCACCCCGCCGCGCCCTCCGATCCCCGGGAAGACCTCCCACCGCCCCCCTACCCCGCGCCCTCTGATCTCAGGGAAGACCCCTCGCCGCCCTCCCCGATGGCAGCCTGAGTAGCGGAGGGCGGGACAAGGGGAGGAGGGACGCGGGAGAGGGCGGGGGCGGAAGTGGGGAGGGTCAGGCGCGTTGGGAGCCGCAGCCCCAGCCCTGCTCACCGCTCTCACGAGGCCGGGCAGCCCCCACTCGGTGCTGAGCAGGCGCAGGCTGTGCAGGCGGCCGCGGCCATCCACGCGGCGCTGCAGCACGTCCACGCCCAGCACGCTGGGGTTCATCGGGTTCGGGTACTTGCGCATGGCCGCCTGGATGACCGTGTCCCACGGGTGGCTGCGGGGAGAGCACAGGCGGCGGTGAGCAGGCCCGGGACCGGGGCCGCAGCGGTAACGGGGAGGCAAAAGCCGCAGACAGGCCTAGTCTCTTCGCTTTAATGAAAGGCTCGTCCGACAAATCCGAGGAGTCCCGCGAGCCCTCCCCGGCCGCCCGCGCCGCACCTGCAACGCCGCACCTGCACGCCTCGGCACCTGGCTGCCCCACGGTGTTTAACAGAAACACACACCTGCCTCCGCGCACCCAGAGCACGCTGTGCTCGCCGCTACTCACGGGCAACTGAGGATGCACTACTTTGTTCCCACTTCTAATGGTCTATGGCTGAAGCAGCCACACTTCTTTTCTGATTATAAAAAATGTGTTCAAAATTTTGAAAAAGTATAGGCATTTTACTTTATTAATTATGTTTTGAGACGGAATCTCCCTCTGTTGCCCAGGCTGGAGTGCACTGGCACAATCTTGGCTCACTGCAACCTCTGCCTCCCAGGTTCAAGCGATTCTTCTGCCTCAGCCTCCTGAGTAGCTGGGATTACAGTTTTACAGGCACCAGCCACCACGCCCGGCTAGGTTTTTGTTTTGTTTTGTTTTTGTATTTTTTTTTTTTTTTTTTTTTTGGAGACAGAGTTTCGCTCTTGCTACCCAGGCTGGAGTGCAATGGCGCGATCTCGGCTCACCGCAACCTCCGCCTCCTGGGTTCAAGCAATTCTCCTGCCTCAGCCTCCTGAGTAGTTGGGATTACAGGCACGCGCCACCATGCCCAGCTAATTTTTGTATTTTTAGTAGAGACGAGGTTTCACCATGTTAACCAGGATGGTCTCGATCTCTTGACCTCGTGATCCACCCGCCTCGGCCTCCCAAAGTGCTGGGATTACAGGCTTGAGCCACCGCGCTCGGCCAGTTTTTGTATTTTTACAAAACAGAAAAGAAAAAGTAGAGACGGGGTTTCACCAAGTTGGCCAGGCTGGTCTTGAACTCCTGATCCGCCTAGACCTCCCAAAATGTTGGGATTACAGGCCTGCGCCACCGCACCCAGCTTATAAAGACATTTTAAACAATCTACAATTCCACACTCCAAGGATCACTGCTGTCAACATTCTGCGTGCATTCTCCCCCTTGCCACCACACAAACCTCACATTTTCCCAAGCCACGCCTGGCTAGGAGGACCGTATAGTGATGCAAGAACAGCGATGGCCCGAATATCACAGCTCTCAGCACCACCTGCTGATGGAAGCTCCCAGCCCTGCCAAGGCCCCCAGTCTCCTTGGGCATCCTAGGGGTGTCCCTTGCAGGACAACACCGCTCCTTCCCTGGCCCTGAGCCTTTTCCCCTTGGTTTTTGTCTGAGACAGAGTCTCATTCTATCACCCAGCAGGCAGGAGTACAGTGCCGCCATCAGGGTCATTGCAGGCTCAACCTCCCAGGCTCAAATGAACTTCCTACCTCAGCCTCCCCTTACCCCACCTCCAGTGGCTGGGACTATAGGTATGTGCCACCACACCTGAATTTTTTGTAATTAATTAATTTTTTTGAGACGGAGTCTTGCTCTATTGCCCAGGCTGGAGTGTAGTGGCACGATCTCGGCTCACTGCAACCTCTGACTCCCGGGTTCAAGTGACTGTCCTGCCTCAGTCTCCCTAGTAGCTGGGATTACAGGTGCCTGCTACCACACCTGGCTAATTTTTGTATTTTTAGTAGAGATGGCCATGTTGGCCAGGCTGGTCTTGAACTCCTGACCTCGTGATACAACCGCCTCAGTCTCCCAAAGTGCTGGGATTACAGGCATGAGCCACTGCGCCCCACCAATTTTTTATTTTTAAAAAATGTTTAGGTTTCATTAGGTTGCCAAGTTGGTCTTGAACTCATGGCCTCAAGCAATCCTCCTGCCTTCACCTCCCAAACTGCTAGGATTACAGGAATGAGCCACCATGCTCAGCCTCCCCTTGTTTTATTTCCTGCCATCAGAGAGGTCACAAGCTGCCCATTGCTTTCTAGAGCTCTGCACTTGGTTGGGCCTGAAATCTGCAGGGGTCAGACACATGTCTGATGGGAGCCAAGTGAGGGGCCATCACACCTATTCAGCATGGACCCTCCCCCAGACAGCTGAGGGAATGCCAGCAAGTCACCTGATTGCCCTAATTGTCCTAAGCCATCCTTCCTTCAGGATGTGCTATGAAGCCTCTTCAAGGACAAACATTCTCTGACAAGATCATTTCTTCAGCAGTGCCCAGAGAGGTTTGTCCAGCTTATGTGTAGACACAGCCCAGAGGCAAGCCTGGATGTGTGCACACACATCTGCACCATGCACACTCACACACGTGTGCACATACACATGCATACACACATCCATGCACAGGGACACACATCTTGAAAAATTAAACTGGGATTACATTCAGCATATGAGTTTACCATCCACTTTTTAATAACTGCTGATAAACACTTTCCAATATCATGGGGCCATTTTCAGAATTATTATAAATGGATTTTTATAATATTTATATGTCAGAATTATATTTCTGAAATATTATATATTATGCATTATATATTATAAATTATATTAATTTATAGTATTTCAGAATTATTGTAAACAATTATAAAAGGATTATAAATGGCTGTACACTAGGTCATCTTGTGGTTGTGTATATTTCACCAGTCTTCTATGGTGGCTTATGTTATGTAGATTGCTTTCACTTTCAGATGATAAATCGTAACAGTAGTGAACATTTGTGTACATTAGTCTTCCAACACATAATTCTTCCTTAGGATAAAGTTCTAGAAATGAAATTTCCAAATAAAATACGGAAGTTTATGAACATATTGAAGCTTTTGTTCCATATTTTGGTCATTTTTTAATATAACTGAGTGATGATTAATTTACTTTAACCTCATCAAACTCTCGTCCTAGGTGAAAGTTAGCAGCAGGGCCCAGATGAGAAGCAGGTGTCACAGCTCCCTAACCTATGTTCTTTTATCACATTCAGCGGCTCTAAATTGTCAGGGCCTGGCCTGGAGTCCTCTCTAACAATAGAACACTTGGGTTCAGTTTTTCAAACCATGCAATTGTGTCACTAAGTTAACGCATTCCACTGGTGAACATAAAGGGAAGAAAGGGATGAAGAAGCCCAAACTGTGTGGTCCTAATCACTCTAAGAATTCAGTCAGCTTGGAGTCCTTTCTCCTCTCTGAGGGTTAGGGAAGAACTGTCAGGGACATGGTAGACCCCAGAGCTGGGTAAGGAAGGTGAATCCGAAGATACATGAGAAGCAGAAAGGGGCTCAGTCGCCCAGGAGAGCCTTCTCAATGAATAATCTGAAGGCTTTTTAAGCTCCTTAGACTGGTTCCCACTGAAGTCATTACTTTAAGCAGAATAGGCTACGCCTTCAAACATCAAGCATAAAATAATCCAAACATTGAGAATTTTTTGCATTACGCTTATCTCAAATAATGTCTCTTTCATATAAAAATCTTGCATCTTAGTGCTGGGTGCAGTGGCTCATGCCTGTAATTCCAGAACTTTGGGAGGCCAAGGCGGGCAGATCACTTGAGGTTAGGAGTTCAAGACCAGCAGTGGCCAACATGGTGAAACCCCATCTCTACTAAAAATACAAAAATAAGCTGAGTGTGGTGGCACACGCCTGTAGTCCCAGCTATTCAGGAGCCTGAGGCAGCAGAATTGCTTGAACACAGGAGGCAGAGGTTGCCATGAGCCAAGATCAAGCCGCTGTACTGCCTGGGCGACAGAGTGAGACTCTGTCTCAAAACAAAACAAAACAAATTAAAAAAAAAAAAAAGATTTAGGCAGGCAGGTGTGGTGGTTCATTCCTGTAACCCCAGCATTTTGGGAGGCCAAGGCAGGAAGTTCACTTGGGACCAGAAGCTCAAGACCAGCCTGCGCAACAGAGCAAGATCCCTATGTCAACAAAAAATACTAAAGTTAGCCAGGTGTGATGGCACACAACTGTAGTCCCAGCTACTCCAGAGGCTGAGATGGGAGGATCACTTAAGCCAAAGAGTTTTCGGCTGCAGTAAGTCGTGATTGTGCTATGGCACTCCAGCCTGGGCAACAGTGAGACCGTCTTTAAAAAGAGAAAATAAAAAAAGATTCAGGCAGCCATAAACAAGATAAACAGCCTGCTACGCCCCACCACCAAGTGACCCGAGGCCTCCATCAGCTGCACACCCTGGGGGCTCCAACAGTTTCAGGCCACAACTGTTGTCACAGTGCTACTGAAATTTGGCCTTTTTTGCTGTATTGACATTTACAGTTTCTGCAAAAGCAATGAAAGGACAGAGCCAACGTCTTCCTGGCATCAAGGCAGGGCTCCAAACTGTGCGTGGTCACTGCAGTCCTCACTGCTGTGCACTGGGAAAACAATGCCAGTTTCTCTTAAGGACATCTGTGATGAAATGGTAAAGTGATTAATTTGATGACTGTTTGACCCCTGAGTACTCTTCTCTTTGATATTCTGTGTGAGGGAACAGAAGTGCACCAGAAGCCCCTCTGCTGCTGAGGCCCAAGTCCCTCGGCTGTGGGGTGTCTGGGGGCACTGGCACCTGTTCATTCTGAGGGGGAGCCCCTGTCTCTCTGCTGCTTTCCACTGCCTGCCTCTTGTACTTGAAAGAGCAATCAACAGAAAGAACAATAAACAGACAAACTTTGCTTATTCAGACTTGGGGATCTGGCAGATGACTTCTTAAAAATTAATGAAGTGAGCCCATGCTTCAAGGAAAACAACTGATAGTATTTGCTGCCAAAGATAAAATTTGAGCTTCAAAGTGATAATTTGGCTGGGCAGGATGGCTTATGAGCCATACCTGCAATCCCAGCACTTTGGGAAGCCAAGGCATGAGGTCAGGAGTTCGAGACCAGCCTGGCCAACATGGCAAAACCTCACTCTAGTAAAATACAAAAATTAGTCAGGCATGGTGGCACACCCCTGTAATCCCAGCTACTAGGGAGGCTAAGGCAGGAGAAGTGCTTGAACCTGGGAGGCAGAGGTTGC